GTCCACCGGCCAGCGGCCCGCACGCCCTCGCCCCCCGGCCCCCCGACCTGAACACGCGCCCCATCCCGACGCTGGCCTAGTTAGCGCTTTTATTGCGCTAGGATATCTCTTTTAAACAGATCTCCCTGAACGTTGTCTCTGAGGTATTAGTCAGTCCCCTCCTGGAGGCGGTCGGGACAGTTCTAAGGTGACTGGAGCCCAGAACACTCGGCCGCAGCGGGGAGCAGCCTCCTTTGTGTTCCCCCGAGCTCTGTGCGAATAGGATCGTTTTCCCCCTGGGCCGTGGGGAGAAAATGCTTTGGGAGCTCTGCGCAGGCACCGGCCGGGCCGGGCCGGGCTCTGCGGGACGCAGGGGTCTCAGGTCGAGAGTGAAAGTTTTGGCAAGTGGAACACAAATGTCAACACTAATTTCTCTGTGGGTCGCTGTGGGCCGCGGGTGCCACATCTCACCAAAACAGAACCGACAGCGCCGGGGCACGAGCCACGCTCGGCCGTGACGTGGCGTCTGAGAGCCTCTCGCACAGACATAACCCCTCCTACCGCAGCCTCCGCTCTTCGCAGATGTGACGAGATTAAAAAATACTCAGGGAGTGGTTTTCTAGTGTTTCACACACACCATCTGCGCAGGTAAAGCGTGAGCAGACGAGCTGGACACGGTTTCAAGAGTCTGTTCGGTTGGACGTCGATAACCTTACGTGGCTTCTCGCCTTGGGTCCGGGACGCGGTCTGGCACGATGGTGGACATGGAACGGAGCAGTACTCACCGATGTTCATCCAGTAGATGTGCAGGGGCGGCAGGCCTTTCGGGGGGCGGCACGGAAGGACCACAGCGTCCCCCTCCTCCACCTCGAGAGGCTCGATCTTCTCTTTGGGGAATTTCGGAACATCTGGCATTGAAAAAAATCATGTTAAGACATTGTTTTACATTGACTTTTAATGTCACAAGTAATATCTTAATTCACTTTTTAAAAATTAGGGCATTTTTAATCAATTCAAGACCCCCAATCTTGGTTCCTGTATCTCCCCTGCAGAGGAAAACCCGTGAAGGATCCGCGTTTTGCAACCAGACGACACATACTCATGGCGATTCTACGCTCGGGCGTATTCTGCACAGAGCTGAGAGCCACCCCCACAGAACACCCAGAAAAACCTAACGATTCCAAGAGGGAGTCCCACCGTCGAAGCACGCTCCTCCCACAGGGAGTAAGTCAAGGCTATAAAACTCCAACTCCGAAAATGGAGACATGCAAATCAACTGGCTTCCAGGGCATCGATGAAAACGTGCAGTAACATCACGTTGATGGGTCCACCGACCACTTCATCGCTCGGCCGAAGAGGAAATGAATGCCTGGAAACAGGGAGGCAGATTTATCCACGTCATGACTCAAGGCCTGAGAATAGACCTCGCGAGAGGCATTAATTCGCTAAGTTTCGTTAGGTCGTCGTCTTCGACTCTGAAACTCTTCAGTGAGCCCGATGCCACGCTCGGAAGAAAGCGCGTTACCCTCCACGGGCGAGCGTGAAATTTCGTCCCGTAAGCTCAAGATCAGGCACAACGTCCACCCTCGTCCGGAGGAAGCTGTGGCTCCATTCAAAAGCCGCTCCCGCCGCCGACCTCTGCGCAGCGTGTTTCTCGGGGGGCCGTTCCTGGCATCGCCGGGTCTGGACACACGGACACGTCACAAGGTGAGCTGTAAACTGTCACTGTTCCTTTCCGCGAGGTCACCACGCGGCTTTAGCTTGCCAGCTTATCTCGGACGGCCTCTCCATCAACACCCGAAACGACGTCACTGAGTCGCGTTTTGGTGACGCCGGAGTTTGCCACGGCACGGCTGTGTGCAAAGGGCTCGGGGTCTGCCCGCGCCCCAGCATCTCCCCCGGCTGGGCTTTCAGGGTGTGGGAAGGGCCGCCACGAGCTGGTCCGGTGAAGCGGTTGGCTGTGTGCGGAACGTCCCTGCCCGTCCAGGCGGTACCAGGCAACGAGGTCACAGTGTCCACCGTCCTCCCCGGTGCACGCCCAGCGGCAGACGAGCTCCTAGCAGCGGCCCCGAGGGCACTGGTCCCCGAGAACCCGCGCAGAACCCAAGGCAAACGCGCCGTCCTGGAGGCTCGTGGCAGCTCGTCCGACAGTGACCAACCTTCTTCCTGGAGCTGCAGCTCCCAGCAGACGTGCGGACGCAGAACCGCTAGGCGACCTGCACCTCGAGGTGCCGTGTGTGTCAAAACTCGTCATCGATTCTCTCAATATAATGACACAACCTCTTTGCCCCGGGAACGTGGGAGACTCACGAATGCCCTGGGGTCTCCCGGCCCGGACGCTGCAGCCCACGGGAACTGCAGAGCAGCGCCCGCCCCCCGCCATTCCCGCCGTCCCAGAACCCTGTCCTCCCTCCCCCGGGATCCTCGGAAGTGTCACCAGAAGTGCCCTTAGGTCCCGTGAGACCTAAGCTGCATAACCCTCGAGGTCGGCGAGCAGCATCGTCACCGCAGCTGGGACTGGCACCGGGCGGTGAACATGGACACTCGCCGTGAGCTAGCCCCGAGGGCACCGGTCCCCAAGAACCCGCGCAGAACCCAAGGCGAACGCGCCGTCCTGGAGGCACGTGGCAGCTCGTCTGACAGTGACCAACCTTCTTCCTGGAGCTTCCTGGAGACGTGCGGACACAGAACCGCTAGGCGACCTGCACCTCGAGGTGCCGTGTGTGTCAAAACTCGTCATCGATTCTCTCAATATAATGACACAACCTCTTTGCCCCGGGAACGTGGGAGACTCACGAATGCCCTGGGGTCTCCCGGCCCGGACGCTGCAGCCCACGGGAACTGCAGAGCAGCGCCCGCCCCCCGCCATTCCCGCCGTCCCAGAACCCTGTCCTCCCTCCCCCGGGATCCTCGGAAGTGTCACCAGAAGTGCCCTAGGGGGCGGAGGCTGCCTCCTGCTCAGCCTCTGACGGGGGGCTCCGCCTGGCCTCCGCCGCCCCCCACAGCCCTGACCCAGCAGCTCCCAAACCCACGTGCCAGCGTCTGCAGTTGATGTTCTCGGAGGCGGTGGGGACGGGGCGTCCTCCCTCCCCCGGGATCCTCGGAAGTGTCACCAGAAGTGCCCTTAGGTCCCGTGAGACCTAAGCTGCATAACCCTCGAGGTCGGCGAGCAGCATCGTCACCGCAGCTGGGACTGGCACCGGGCGGTGAACATGGACACTCGCCGTGAGCTGACCGCATCCCGGACCTGATGGCGGCCTCTCCTGTCATTTAAGGAACAGTCACGACCCCCGTGTCCCTCACCTCTCCGGCCTGACGCTGCACGTCAAGGTGTTTCAACGGAGCAGGACGCTTTCCACTCACCTAGGCGATGCGTCACCAGCCACCGGCGCGGGCAGCACTGAACGGCTCCGTCACCCACCATGTGACCCGGACCTGGCCCTCCACGTGCCCCCGAGTCCTCGTGCATAACATGGAGACCATAATGACACCCAATTCACCGGTATGTGTCAACGTTTAAAGAACCATTTCACAGAAATCAGTTAGAACAGTGTCGGGCACCTAAAAATCACACTGCGTGCACTGGCTGCCGCCCGGGGTGCAGGTGTGCGCAGTGGCCCCTCTCGGGGTGCAGACGGGGTGGGGGCCGGGGGCGGAGGCTGCCTCCTGCTCAGCCTCTGACGGGGGGCTCCGCCTGGCCTCCGCCGCCCCCCACAGCCCTGACCCAGCAGCTCCCAAACCCACGTGCACGCGTCTGCAGGGTGGGGACGGGGCCCAGGGCGCAAGCTCTGAGGTTGTCTAGTGAGTCCCCACCGTCCCCCCAAGGCCAGGCCGGCCTCAGCTGACATCGGCCGTTCACAGTGCTGGCCCAGCGCGCGCCCTGGAGTCACCGTCCCAACTCAGGCCACCGAGCTCCATCCTGTGCCACCCCCCAGTTTCCGTCTGTGGAGAAGTTTGATTCCTACTTCCTTAGAGTCCCCCCTAACCACTTCCTGTAGAGCACCCCAGGAATCCCCTTAGGACTTCCGAGCAACAACACTGCCTTTCGGTCACAGGCTCCTCGTGAACGCTCTCCGAGGAAGGACACCCAGTCCCCACCCCGGTCACCCCAGGCTTCTACCTGCAAAATCCTCGGCCGTAACCAAACCTGCAGCACGCAGAGCTGCACTCCAAAATGGCTGATCTTCTGTGGCTGGTTAGCAGACATCAGCCGGAGATGTTAGCACATGCCACCAACACTGCTTCGGCCACCCACCCCCCCCGAAGCGGCCGGGAACAGCGAGGGGACGGCTGAAGGAGACGGTCCGGAAGAAGCTGCCCCAGGGGAGGAACCCAGCACACCTGATGATTATGGGAAGCCGTCGGGGGATAAAGTAATCTCAGGAGAGACCGGAAACGGTGCCTAAGAAACTGAATTTATTTCGCTCTCGTCTACAGCAGCAGACAAACGGGGCATCGGCCACCACGCAGCCCGGAGCCACGCGTGTCCCTCAGCTGCCAGGTCCTGGCCCGGAGCACCCTCGGCCGGCCGTGTCTTCACGCGGTCTGCTCAGACGGCGAGAGAAGATATTTTGGGAAATCCCTTATTTGCAGAATCTTATTCCAAAATGTGCCATTTCCTTCTCCGTGATGAGTCGAAGTCGAGCAGCTGCCTTTGCGTTTCCATAGCAACCGCTAGAATTCAGGTTGAGGATCACCCCAATGCCCAGCGCTCGCTCACGCTCTCTCTCTCTCTCTCTCTCTCTCTGGCGCGCGCTCTCTCTCTCTCGCTCTCTCTCTCACCTTATTTCAGCTGACTTACTTCAGATAGGTAGATAGATAAATCGATAAACTGATTGATTGTCCTAGTTTCATGATTCTCAACCACAATTTTCGTGGTTCTACTCTCCGATGCAGGATTCATTCAAATTTCCTATGGACCGTCACTTGAAGCTTGAACTCCTGAGGCCACTTCAAGTTTATGTGTCCCTGCCCTGTCCACTACTATGCTACAGTGTCTCACTTAATAGCCTAGTGCCACTCACTGAGGCAAATCAGTACGCGTCACACTTATTATATGTAGAGAAAAAGACCGCATTTGAAGTAAATGCAAAGAAAAAGAAAGAAATACAACTAACACTTTCCCCGCCACCCGTCACGCCAAAGCCTCACGGGGACGCGCCCGATGACCCGCCCGATGACCTGCCCACCCTGTTCCCTGGAGGCCAGTGCTGTCCCCTGGAGGCCAGTGCTGTCCCCAGTCTCGTTTGTCATCCTAATGTCACCACATGACATCGTACTCCTACGTGATGCTTTCCATTTGCCGACTTTTGAAGGTAGGAAAGCAAAACCGTCCCGAACGTATTCTTCCGAGCTCCGCTTCCACTGTCCGGCACACTCCTGAGGCCGGCCGGTGTTCGCTGCTGGGGGCGCTTTTAACAAATAAACCAGGTTATTTTTTCATTCCGCCATGGGGGGGAGGGGCTCACATTTTTTCCAGACGGCGCCACCACAGATATCCCCGGGGCACGTGGACCGGGCACACGGGTGTGGACAAGGACGTGAGCTGCCTTCAATGGAGGGGGTGACGGCCCGTCCCCCACAGACGCGGCCGCGTGTGCCCGCCCGGCGTGACTTGGGCTCTGTGACAGAGCCTGGTTTCGTGGGGTCCAATGCGTTCATCGTTTGGGTTACCGCGGATCTGTTTCTGGATCCTGGTGACGCCGAGCGCGCGCTGGCACTGTGATCGGTGACCCCGTCGGAGGCGCGAGTTCGTGCCTTTTCGCTCCTCTGTTTCTGTCTGTCTGTCTGTTTTGCTTTTCCCTTAGAGGTGTGTGAACTGATTTATACATACAGAATATTATATTTCGTGATACTCGTCTGCAAGAATTTTTCCTGGGCTGGGCCCCCTCTGCGCACGGTCCCCTGGGCTCTTTGGAAGAAAAGATCTAAACGTCAAACGCGGTCAGACGCCTTCGGCCGCCTTCTGCACGGCCTCCGCCTCGTCCGGTGCAGGCACCGCCCCGCCCGGGCCGCGCACGCACGGCGCGGTCCCCTCCTACTCTCTAAGAGCCTTTGGCCCCCGGTTAAGTCTTTAGCCACCTGGAGGGATCCTTTCCAGGAGGTGAGGGAGGCTCCAGAGACATGTTTCTCTGCGGGGTGATTGGTTTTTCCACACCATTCAGCTTGGGAAGAAAAGGAAAAGAAAAAGCGGGAGAGGAGACCTGGGCAGCTCCCCGACGCCGTCTGCAGACACCCGGGCTCGTTCCCGGGGCCGCCGGGCAGCTCCGAGGGCACCTGGCGGGCTGACCGGGGTCACCCAACAAGGCCGAGGGCTCCTGACCTGTTCTTGTTCTTCGAGGGTTTCCGCCAGATTGTGCCCATTGATCCTCAGATACACTTGTCAATCACTTGGTCACAGTTCACAGACAGACAGAAAACGACCTGCGGCGATTTATTTAATTATTCTGTTTATCGACTCAGGGAGAATTGACAGTTTAGCTTTCCTGAGTCTTCTAATCCACGAAAATCGTACTTTTTCCATTATGCAGATCTCTTTAAAACGCTTTTCAACGGCAAAGTGTTTGCGTCTGTCTGTTGGACTTATTTTTGCGTGTCTGCGTTTTTTCCCCCTTCACTCTACTTTCTCTGAGTTTATTCCGTTACCTTAAACTGGCTCATCCGGTTTCATCTCAACATTATGTCACCTCATGAGCCTGCCTGTCGTCCCTTCTTTTCCAATAAAAGTTCTTACACTAAAAGTATCTCTCAGCGTAACGTCTTAGCTGCTTCGAGCTTGTTTTATTTTGTAGAATTTCTACCGGCATCACTTCAAAATATACTCCATTTCTCTTCGGTATTTCTTCTTTGCCCTATGAGTTACTTAGAAACATGTTTGTTAATTTGCAAAGATAGAAGACTTTTTTAGTTTTCTTTTCATTATTGATTTTGAACTAGTCTCATATGGCCACATTTTCTGCACAGCTCACTTATCATCAAATATTGGAGAAAACGCATTCCGCGGTTTTGGGTACCATGGTCTCACACGGTCACCAGCCGGAGCTTGTGCCAGGCTCCCATGTGACAAGCGTCCGTGCACCAGGCTCCCGTGCGCTCACCGACGCTGTGCGCTTCAGCTCCCGGTTCCAGAAAGCGATCCGTGACCAACCCCGTCACGGTCCGTTTCTCCCTGGACTTCTCGTTGTTGCTTCTCACGATCGAACACCCTGCAGCCCGGTGAACTCGGCGCCAGGAAGCCCTTTCGCCGTCTGCGGTGACCGACGCCCCCAGAGCCGCCCGCTTGCTCACGTCGCGTTTGGCCGGATGCCATTCCCACCCCTCCGTTTAACGACGCTCACGCGCACGATTCCGCCGCGCTCCGCTGCGAAGAGCTCACGGCTTTTCTTACTCATTTGGCGCACGGGGTCTCGTTCATCTTATCAGTGATGGACACTTGGATTTATTCCTATTTTTTCTTTCTGCTCATCTCGCTTTTCCTTGTGTTTCTCTCCTCTCTGACTTTCTCCTCCTCTCCCTCACACCGCACAGTCTGATAATCGTCCATAGTTTCTCTATGCTTTTACAGTAATTGCTCTATAAAGTTGAAGTTGCACAGTTTCCTTGTAGAGTCTAAATTTGACCTCTATCCTCCTCTACAATAATAGGAGGACTTAGGAACAGTTTGACCCCAGACCCCGTCCCGGCTTTTAGGATGAGGCACGTGTTTCTCACGACTTGTTTTTGGAGGTGTCCGCAGACCCTTCCTCTACGTCCCGCGGGGCCTACGACTTCCTCCGAGCCGCTCGGTGTCTGGAACTCGGCAAGAAGCCGGCAAACGGCAGTTCGTGGCAGCTTGATGCGTGAGGATCCACAGCAAGGCCTTTGGTCAGAGCCGTGCGAAGCTGGAAACGCCCCGATCAGGGAGAGTCAGTGGACGTCCGTGCACACAGGCCGATGCAGCCAGGACCGAGGCACCCGCTTTGGTGATCGTTGTCGATAAGCAAAACCCTCACAGCGAAGTCGTCCGCAGCGTCCACGTCACCACTTATGGACGACTCGCTAAGGTGTGCCGGTCACGGGAGCTCCCCCCGAGGCGACTCTGACGTCGACGCCGGATGGGGCCATCCCGTTGCTTTGTGCCACCAACTAAACTAAGTCAAGTCGCCAGTGTAACTTCTCCTTGGCAGTGAACTTTCACGCTCTCTGCCCCAGACTCTGACCAAGGGGCATGAGCGTCCCATGACGCAGCCGCAGGACGATGAGTCTACATCAGCTTCACTCACGGAGGAGGCTGCGTGGGCAGCAGCTGCCCCAAAGAGCTGCCTGGCCCACAGCAAACTGCTTAATCAGGGAACGACCTGTGTCATCACGGGCTCGGGTGACTCATTACTGCAGCATAACTTCGCCGAACATAACTAATCATGCATTGTACTTAGCTCTCATCCTACGAGGCGAAGGTACTATTTTACCCCAGGTTACTGAAACACAGCTAAATGATGCTGCTTTCAAGGTCATCCGCTTCTCAGTATCGAGACGTGGAAGAGACTTTCCCTCATAAATCAAATGTAAGGTGCATATAAACCGGCTGAATTATAACATGCTATTTCACGAGTGCCCAGTATAACTTCTACTTAACACTTCACAAGAGCATTTCAACAACGAAGCCCCCGTCATACTCACTTGGAACTATGAATTCTATTTCTTCTGACATGGCCACTCCCAGTCTGTTGGAGGCGAAGCAGCGGTATTTCCCTTGGAAGTGAGACACGTGCCCCTCGTTAGAGATCTTGAAGGTCCCCGAGTTGTGGGAGACAGTGATCCGGGGGTCAGAGAGGTGGAAAGGCTTGTCGTCCTTCGTCCACGTGAACCTGTAAGAGAAGCTCGGCTGAGCGGCCCTGAAGCAGCGCCGGGCCCGTGAAAGCATTTGGAGATGAGCGCACAGGAATGAAGGGACGTAGGCGTTTTACGGTAAAGCACACGCACACGGAAGGCAAACGGCGTCGGAAGCTCGAGAAGCCTCACGAGCTGCTACGCACTGAATTTTGTGCCCCGCAGGATTAGTCTGTTGAAGCCGAACCCCCAGGGGCTGGTGGCAGGAGGCGGAGCCCTCGGGGGCCATTAGCTCACAGGTGGAATCTCACGCATGAGTTAGCGCCCTGTCAACGGGGCTCCAAGGAGCCCCCCGTCCCTTCCACCATGGGGGGACACAGCGAGAGGAGAGGACGGCCATGACCCAGGAACCGGCCTCGCCGGACGCCCACCCTGCGGGCACCTTGGCCTTGGCCTCGCGGCCTTGGGAACTGCGAGGAATTCGTGGTGCAGCCAAAGCCCCTGCTACTGTCCCCCGCTACTG